CTGGTGGTACCGGTGGTCCTGGTGGTCGTGGCGGTGCTACTGGTGGTGCTGGTGGTGCTAGTGGTGCTGGTGGTGCTGGTGGTGCTGGTGCTACTGGTGCTGCTGGTGGTGCTGGCGGTCCTGGTGGTGCTGGCGGTGCTACTGCTGGTGCTGCTGGTGCTGCTGGTGCTGCTGGTGCTCGTTCCGTTGCTCGTTCTGGTGCTGGTTCTATTGCTGGTTCTGTTGCTCGTTCTGGTTCTCGTTCCGTTGCTCGTTCTGTTGCTCGTTCTGGTTCTCATTCTGGTGCTGGTTCTGGTGCTGGTTCTCGTTCTGGTGCTGGTGCCGGTTGCGGTGCTGGCGGTGCCGGTTGCGGTGCTGGCGGTGCCGGCGGTGTCGGCGGCACGGAGGCGCAGCTGAGCCGCGCGGTGCCCGCAGGAGGCGGTGGCGAAGGCTCTGTCCCAGCTGTGCCGGGCGCTGCCGGCGGTGGTCGCGGCTCCGTGCCAGTGCCTGGCGGAGCGCTACGCCGAGCTGCTGCTGGAGGCGCTGCTGGGCCGCCTGGCGCCGCGCCTGCTGTGCCGCCTGCTGCTGGCCTGCGGGCCCGAGGACGGCGGCGCTGCCGGCGTGGCACCGACGGGGCGACCGGGCGACGAGGAGAGCGGCCTGCGGAGCGCCGGCGGGCGCACGGTGAGAGCTGGGGGACGAAGGGACACTGGGGGCGCTAAAGGTGTCACAGCCCCAGAGGGACACGTTGGGGACCCAAAGGGACACACTGGGGACCCTAAAGGTGTTGTGGACCCAAGGCACACGTTGGGGACCCAAAGCAATGTGTTGGGGGCTCTAAAGGTGTCACAGCCTCAGAGGGACACATTGGGGATTCAAAGGGACACAATGGGGACCCTAAAGGTGTCACAGCCCCAAGGGACGTGTTGGGGACCTGAAGGGACGCATTGGAGACCCTAAAGGTGTCATGGACCCAAGGCACACACTGGGGACCCAAAGCAACGTGTTGGGGACCCTAAAGGTGTCACAGCCCCCAGGGACATCCTGGGACTCTAAAGGTGCTGTGGACATGTGGGACATGTTGGGGACCCTAAGGATGTCACAGCCCCAGAGGGACATGTTGGGGACCCAGAGGGACACACTGGGGACCCTAAAGGTGTCACAGCCCCCAGGGACACCTTGGGGACTCTAAAGGTGCTGTGGACACATGGGACACGTTGGGGACCCTAAAGGTGTCACAGACCCAGAGGGACATGTTGGGGACCCAGAGGGACACAGTGGGGATCCTAAAGGTGTCGTGGACCCATGGGACATGTTAGGGACCCAGTGTGACATGTTGAAGACCCTAAAGGTGTCACAGCCCCAAGGGATACGTTGGGGACCTGAAGGGACACATTGGAGACCCTAAAGGTGTCACAGCCCCATAGGGACACACTGGGGACCCTAAAGGTGTCGTGGACCCATGGGACATGTTAGGGAACCAAAGCGACATGTTGAAGACCCTAAAGGTGTCACAGCCCCAGAGGGACGCGTTGGGGACCCTAAAGGTGTTGTGGACCCATGGCACACGTTAGGGACCCAAAACGTGTCACAGTCACAAGGGATGTGCTGGGGATCCAAAGGGACACAGAGGGGACTTGAAGGGACACTGGGGACCCAAGGCACACGTTGGGGACCCAAAGCAACGTGTTGGGGGCTCTAAAGGTGTCACAGCCCCATAGGGACACACTGGGGACCCTAAAGGTGTCACAGCCCCATAGGGACACAATGGGGACCCTAAAGGTGTCACAGCCCCAAGGGACGTGTTGGGGACCTGAAGGGACACATTGGAGACCCTAAAGGTGTCATGGACCCAAGGCACACACTGGGGACCCAAAGCAACGTGTTGGGGACCCTAAAGGTGTCACAGCCCCCAGGGACATCCTGGGACTCTAAAGGTGCTGTGGACATGTGGGACATGTTGGGAACCCTAAGGATGTCACAGCCCCAGAGGGACATGTTGGGGACCCAAAGGGACACACTGGGGACCCTAAAGGTGTCATGGACCCATGGGATATGTTAGGGACCCAAATCGACATGTTGAAGACCCTAAAGGTGCCACAGCCCCAGGGGATACATTGGGGACCCAAAGGGACACACTGGGGACCTTAAAACTGTCACAGCCCCAAGGGACGCGTTGGGAACCCTAAAGGTGTCGTGGACCCATGGGACACATTGGGGACCCAAAGCAATGTGTTGGGGACCCTAAGGTGTCACAGCGCCAAGGGATGTGTTGGGGACCCAAAGGGACACAGTGGGGACCCTGAAAGTGTCACAGCCCCATAGGGATACGTTGGGGACCCAAAGGGACACAGTGGGGACCCTGAAGGTGTCACAGCGCCAAGGTCCGTGCTCCATGGTGACACCAAGGGAGGCGTTGGGGACGCACAGGGTGTCACAGCCCCATGGGAGCACGGTGGGGACGTGCTCTGTGGTGTCACAGCCCCACTCCGAGTGACGCAGCGCGGCCACCGTGGATGTGACAGCCCCAGGGGACACTCAGCAGCACCATGTCCCCAACTTGTGACCCCAAGGGACGCACCGGGACCCCCAGGGGTGCCACACGTGGGGACACCACCCCCAGGAGCCCTGCCAGGTCACCGAGATGTCACCACTTGTGTCCCCTCCTTCCTCAGGACCCCGCGCTGTGGCAGGCGCTCGCCGAGCTGTCCCCAAACCTCAAGCTGTCCCCAAACCTCAAGCTGTCCCCAAAGCCTGAACCCTGCGCCCTGGGCCCGGCCTACTGGTGCTCCAGTGCTGAGACTGCCCGGCGTTGTGAGGTGAGCACGGGGGGGTGACAAGGGCCATGGGGGGGTGACAAGGGCCATGAGGGGGTGACAAGGGCCATGAGGAGGTGACAAGGGCCATGGGGGGGTGACAAGGGCCATGGGGGGGTGACACGTCACCAACCTCCTGCTGCTGCCCCCAGGCTCAGCCGTACTGCCAGCAGCGCTCCAGGCTGTAGGGCACGGAGGAGCGACCACAGCCCCAAATAAAGCTTGGATGCCAGCAGCACGGCGGCGCTGCGCCTCTTTTTTGGGGGGTGGGGGGGCAAACGGAGACCGAAAAAAGGAGCAGGGAAGGTTTAAAAAGCAGGCAGAAGGAAAAAGAAGAAAGGAAAGGCGTTTAATGGGCGCTCGGGAGCTCAGGCGCCCTGCTGGTTCGTCTCGTCCTCCTCCCGCCGCTTCCAGATCTGGGGCAGAACAGAGGGGGGGGGGCTGTGAGCGGGGGGGGCCGGAGGCATTCGGGGGACGTTTTGGGGACGTTTTGGGGACGTTTTGGGGACGTGCCGTCCCTCGTTTTTCCCCGTCCCTCCGCCCGCAGCCCCTCACCTGGATGTAGGCCTCGGAAAGGGTGATCATCTGCGGCAGGATGTCGGTCACCTGCAGGTCCTGCAGCTCGTACCACTTCCCAGTGCCCTGCGGGGACAGAAGGGGGGGAGGTTGGGGGATGCTGAGGGCTTTCCCTCGCCCCACTTTCCTCCCATTGCCCTGCAGGGACAAACAGGGGGAGGTTGGGGGACGCTGAGGCCTTCCCTCGCCCCATTTTCCGGTGCCCTACGGGGACAAAAGGGGGAGACTGGGGGATGCTGAGGGCTTTTCCCTCATCCCATGTTCCACCTGGTGCCCTGCAGTGACAAAAGGGGGGGAGGTTGGGGGATGCTGAGGGCTTTCCCTTGCCCCACTTTCCGGTGCCCTATGGGGACAAACAGGGGGGGAGGTTGTGGGATGCTGAGGCCCTCCCTCGCCCCTCTTTCCACCCATTGCCCTGCAGTGACAAACAGGGGAGGTTGGGGGACACTGAGGCCTCCCCTCGCCCCCCTTTCCGCCCCCCCCGCGCTGCTCACGTGGTGCAGGACGTGGATGCGGTAGGAGCCCTCGGCCGGCTTCCCGTCGTGCACGATGTTGGCGATGAGGTCGTAGGTGGTGTGGCTGTGCACGGCCTGCACCTCCTCCGACAGGTACTCGCGCAGGTCCACGTTGCTGCAGGGCGGCACCGTCAGCACCCAACCACGGCGACGCCCCCAAAACCCCCCAGAGCCCAAAGCCGCCGGCCGGGGCAGCGCAGCACCCACGTGATGGGGAAGTTGACGATGGTGGGGTTCTTCTCCACGAAGAAGTTGTTCTTGGTGAAGCGCTTGATGCAGAAGATGAGGTAGGGCGGCAGGCGGGTGAGCTGGAAGCGCTTCAGGAAGTTCTCCTTGTAGGTTTTGTACTCCTTCTCCGTGGCGCCGTTGAATTTGGCCAGGATGCTGAAAAGGGGCACCTGGGGGATGATGAGCTGCTCCTTCTCGTCCTTGTAGAGCGGGGCGGTGGGCAGGTCCAGGGTCAGGTACATGAAGGTGGACTCCACCATGGTCTCCTGGT